ATTAATAATCATAGAAAATAAACCAATTGAGTTGAGGATATAAATGTAATTATGAGTGGAAGAAGTGTATCTATTGATAAAAGTGTCTCTAGTTGTAAAACTTTATCAAATAAGTGTGTCTCCGTGTAATTATTCTAATATAATTTTGCATCAGATAATTCCATTTTGAGTTGCACAAAAAACACAAATTACACAAACAATTCTTTTAAAGCTGTACAATTTCTTAGGCCTTAGAAGATTCATATGTAAACTATCAAGGGTGAAAGATTACATCTTTTTTCTTAAAAAAAAAGGATGTATCCTTCCAATGTGGAGGCAATAACAAAAAATAGTTTTCATTTTGTAATAGATCTGCCATTTAGGAATCCTAAGTTAAGGTGGGCCGAGATCGAATCAAAACATAATGTTGGATCGGTATATATGGCCATATGGGTGCATGGAGCCCGGATAAAGTTGTAGATTTTGATTTGTAGCTTGAACAATTTGCGTCTAGTGCAATAGAGTACGAATGGTTACATTTTGTTTTAATAGATAGGAAACTAAATCTTTATTTTAGTGTATTTTTTACATCAAAAGATATTTTTTGTTCCATTCTTCAATAGAGTTCTGTATATTTGATATTTTCAACCAAACTTAAGCATTTGAAAACTGGAAAAAAAAAATCATTTAAACTGCAAAAAAAGTATTCGAACTTACCACGTGGTGTGACCTAGTGGCCTTGAGACTTGAAAAAAGTTTTCAATGTCACTAGTTCAATTATACTTGGATGGGGTGATTACGCATTAAAAGTGATATTATCAACGGATGGCTCCGGTCACTAAAGAGATTATAGATCGAAAATCCGGAACTCCGACGATTTATATAAAAAAAAAATATTCAAACCGAGTTTTTCTTCTCTAGTCGTTATCTAATTGGTACAACTAAACAGCTCTGATATGTCAGAAAGGGAAAAAGATACTTGTTTAAAATGAGACACCTTAAAATTATTGAATACCTATGTCCCTATAATATCATACGTCTTTCACTTGTTTTGGCTCAAAGGAAAAAATACAACAAACTTATTCCGTTTTGCTGACATGGCCTGCTTTCATTGGGTATATAAAATTCAATCACATCGTACACTTTAACAAAAAAATAATCAAATTGAAACTGCAATTGGCCTATAGAGATGAAAAATCAAGTGGGTGGGTGTGGTCAATAGAATCTCCACTTGTCTTTGCGACAAAAATGAGTTCTGCTTTTTGAGAGCTTTTGGTTTGAAAATTGAGTTAAGGCAATAATAGTACTCTACTGCACCACCTTTGTCTTCTTTTACACTGTTGTCTATTTCTGCTGTCTCGTCTCCAGTGCTACTTTATATTTCTTAATGCACTTAATAGTAGTTATCATAAACTCTACCAAAGTTACATTCTTGAGAAGAATGTAGAACGAACGATAGAGTCAAGAGATTCAAAATGGGTAGAGAGTTCAATAATTTTTTAGGACTTCTCAATTTGACAAAATGTGATCCAAAACATGGAGTAATCATGAACATAGTTATTTTTTTTGGTAAATCATGAATAGTTGCAACTTGCAAGAGAATTATTTTTTGGTAATGATAATCATTTTTTTTATATAACGGCCAGTTTGTATTAAACAAACCAAAGAAAAAGATGACAATGTATTTTTTTACAATAGAGCTCAAATGAAAGTTAAATCTAACCTCATATGGCTCGGTTTCTACGACCAAAAGATGCCAAGCATGACCATAAAAAGAAGTTAAAGTGGTTATGATTTGCTTTCATAATTTGGTACGTAGAAAAGCTATAAATGA